GTGCTGCTGCACTGCTTGTGCTGGTATTATTGTGAGGTGGTCTCTTTATTGTAGGGGGGTGTCCTAGTTAGCAGGGCTGCAGTACTAGGTACCATGCAGCAATGAAAACCTAAGCTTTTCAGTGCAAACCCACAAGAGCAGAACACAAGTTTGGGGTTGCTGCAGCAATAAAAGTTTCCAAGCTTTTGGGAATGATGGGGTGCAGGTGCTGCTGCACTGCTTGTGCTGGTATTATTGTGAGGTGGTCTCTTTATTGTAGGGGGGTGTCCTAGTTAGCAGGGCTGCAGTACTAGGTACCATGCAGCAATGAAAACCTAAGCTTTTCAGTGCAAACCCACAAGAGCAGAACACAAGTTCGGGATTGCTGCAGCAATAAAAGTTTCCAAGCTTTTGGGAATGATGGGGTGCAGGTGCTGCTGCACTGCTGGTGCTGATATTATTGTGAGGTGGTCTCTTTATTGTAGGGGTGTGTCCTAGCTAGCAGGCCTGCAGTACTAGACACCATGCAGCAATGAAAGCCCCAGCTTTTCCGTGCAAACCCACAAGAGCAGAACACAAGTTTGGGATTGCTGCAGCAATAAAAGTTTCCAAGCTTTTGGGAATGATGGGGTGCAGGTGCTGCTGCACTGCTGGTGCTGATATTATTGTGAGGTGGTCTCTTTATTGTAGGGGGTGTCCTAGCTAGCAGGGCTGCAGTACTAGATACCATGCAGCAATGAAAACCTAAGCTTTTCAGTGCAAACCCACAAGAGCAGAACACAAGTTCGGGATTGCTGCAGCAATAAAAGTTTCCAAGCTTTTGGGAATGATGGGGTGGAGGTGCTGCTGCTGCTGGTGCTGATAATATTTGAGGGTGGTCTTTATTGTAGGGGTGTGTCCTAGCTAGCAGGCCTGCAGTACTAGACACCATGCAGCAATGAAAGCCCCAGCTTTTCCGTGCAAACCCACAAGAGCAGAACACAAGTTTGGGATTGCTGCAGCAATAAAAGTTTCCAAGCTTTTGGGAATGATGGGGTGCAGGTGCTGCTGCACTGCTGGTGCTGATATTAAACTATTGTGAGGTGGTCTCTTTATTGTAGGGGGGTGTCCTAGCTAGCAAAGCTGCAGTACTAGGTACCATGCAGCAATGAAAACCTAAGCTTTTCAGTGCAAACCCACAAGAGCAGAACACAAGTTCGGGATTGCTGCAGCAATAAAAGTTTCCAAGCTTTTGGGAATGATGGGGTGGAGGTGCTGCTGCGCTGCTGGTGCTGATATTATTGTGAGGTGGTCTCTTTATTGTAGGGGTGTGTCCTAGCTAGCAGGCCTGCAGTACTAGACACCATGCAGCAATGAAAGCCGAAGCTTTTCAGTGCAAACCCACAAGAGCAGAACACAAGTTTGGGGTTGCTGCAGCAATAAAAGTTTCCAAGCTTTTGGGAATGATGGGGTGGAGGTGCTGCTGCGCTGCTGGTGCTGATATTATTGTGAGGTGGTCTCTTTATTGTAGGGGTGTGTCCTAGCTAGCAGGCCTGCAGTACTAGGCACCGTGCAGCAATGAAAACCGAAGCTTTTCAGTGCAAACCCACAAGAGCAGAACACAAGTTCGGGATTGCTGCAGCAATAAAAGTTTCCAAGCTTTTGGGAATGATGGGGTGGAGGTGCTGCTGCGCTGCTGGTGCTGATATTATTGTGAGGTGGTCTCTTTATTGTAGGGGTGTGTCCTAGCTAGCAGGCCTGCAGTACTAGGCACCGTGCAGCAATGAAAACCGAAGCTTTTCAGTGCAAACCCAAAAGCAGAACACAAGTTTGGGGTTGCTGCAGCAATAAAAGTTTCCAAGCTTGGAATGATGGGGTGCAGGTGCTGCTGCACTGCTGGTGCTGATATTAAATTATTGTGAGGTGGTCTCTTTATTGTAGGGGGTGTCCTAGTTAGCAGGGCTGCAGTACTAGATGCCATGCAGCAATGAAAACCTAAGCTTTTCAGTGCAAAACCCACAAGAGCAGAACACAAGTTCGGGATTGCTGCAGCAATAAAAGTTTCCAAGCTTTTGGGAATGATGGGGCGCAGGTGCTGCTGCACTGCTGGTGCTGATATTAGTGTGAGGTGGTCTCTTTATTGTAGGGGGGTGTCCTAGCTAGCAGGGCTGCAGTGCCCTGGTATTATTGTGAGGTGGCCTTTTTATTGTGAAGAGGGCCAGTTAGTGTAAGCTTCAAAATAGATGCTTGTTGATGAGATTAGGCAGTGGCATGGAATGCAGTGCAGCTCAAAGAGGTGTAGGAGAAAGTTGCTGAGGTCTATCGTGTAGCATTGCAGGAAGCGAGTGCAGGCATTTGGCCAGGAAAAGTGCAGATGTGAGAGGGTGCACCTTGCAGTGCTCAAGATTTGCGCTGCAGCTTGCAGCATGTCCATTGCTTATGCTGCAGGCAGATGAGGAAGGCAAAGCGCTGAAGAGAAGACAGCTGAAGCCTCACTTGCAGGCGAGACTGACTTGAAGGAATAATTACTGGAAGACCTACAAGGGCTGAAATGTTTGTGTTGTTTGTTTCACACTGCTGGTTCTTTATTCCGGGGTGGTCTTGTTATTGTAGGGGCTTCCTCTTTGTAGATATGGCAGTGCAGCTTGCTTTTCATTGCAGGCACGCTTGCTGGCAGAGGATGCTGCTGCTGCGGCCACCATGCAGTTTAGCGGACAAAATGCAACTGTGCGAGCAGTCTGCAGCAAGGGCAGTCTTTGCTGTGAAGAAGATGAAGCCATACTCAAGCATGAAGAGGACTATAGTATGACAGTGCAGGAATGATTTTTCTGGTAGCTAAAGCGTGCAGGAGCATAGTTGTAGGGGGGTTGCTTTGATGTGGGGGAGGCAGTGCTGGAGTCCAAGAAACCTTGTGTTTGTTTGCTTGGCCACCGGGTTTGAATTGCAATTAGTATTGGGGACATTAAAACTAGTATTCGAATTTTGGGAGTTCTGGCCTCGGAAAAGTTATTATTCCGGGGGGATTTCTTGTGTCAACTGGGGCACCAAGACTAAACTATGTATTGGCTAATTAAAAATAAGTATTGGATTTTTTCTGGCCCGGGGCGAGAAAAAGTCATTATTCCGGGGGGATTTATTAATCAAGTCCTAAGATTACATTCTAACTGTTTTCCGGTGAACTCGTTGGTTTTTTGAAAACCAGGTTGCCAAGTTAGCACTGCAGATGAATTGTCCAGTATTGTTTCATGACATTTGCATACTTGCATAAGAAACGGCTCTGCAATTTGGACAACACTTGAAGGTCGATGTTGTGGCCAGACTGGCTGGGTTGAGTTTTGACTGCTTCGAGTGTTGAAGACGGCGCTTGGCAAGTGAATAGTCATGGTCATAGCCTCGGGACCGTGGTGAGAACTCGAACCACCCCTGATTTCCGCCCCTTTAGAATGTTACGATCTGTTTGAAGTTAACCTCATGCGCAAAGCTGAACCGATGACAGGAATCTCCAATTCAAGGGTGCTGAATCCGGAATCCGGAAGCTTTAGCCAACGGTTGTTTCCACTTAGCCATAGCCTCCCAAGGTTGACCTTAGAGTGAAAACTCGTGCACTCATTCCTTTCACAAGAGAACCCACATATTATGTTTCACTAACCTGCATGTTAGGGTACAACAGGATTGGCCAAGTTTTCCTCTTGTCATGGCTGGAGTGTGGCGTGAAGGAAGCTGGCCAGCTGTTCTTGGGAAAGCATCATATCCTTCACCAAAATTTTGAGATGTCTGTTTTGGGCCAGTTTTGGAAAGACTACGAGAAGGTCGACGACTCGCATGCAATATTTGACACAGCGGGGGATCCTTGAGCGTGTGGCCCTATCACGACTCGTCCCTGTCGCGATACACGGTGACGAGGGCAGGGGCAATGTACAAATCTAATATTTGCGTGCCTGGGCATCAAGGGTGACTGGCCGTACTTACGGAAGGCCTACAATCGTGTGACCGGGTTCAACTGGCACCGTAAGTGCCACCTGTGCGCTGGAAAGGATGGTCCAGACAGTGGTGCGCTGACTGGCAGAAGTCAGGCCCAGAGTGCAGAAAGAAAGTGTTCAAGATCAAAACTGCGCTGCATCTGCATGATGTGAGTTGCTTTAACCCGCAATCCTTATGCTAGCAACAGCCACCTTGTGGACCTAAGTTTGGCCGTGCAAACGACTTTCACTTTTTTGTTGCAAGTTTCCCCTCAAAATTGTCAGCCCCTTAGTCTTTCAGGCGTATAGCTGTTTATTGTTTCCCTGCTTTTGTTTTGAAGGGGGGCGCGGGAGGTCGCTGGTACACGTGTGTTGCCCATCCCAAATGTACACAAACACCGATATGGTGTGCGCAACGTACTGAGGGGAATGTCCATGCCCCAGTCAAGAGCGAGCCGGCATTGCAACAGTGATGGGGGTTTGAAGAGCTTGCGGTATTCTGATTGATCTTTTGTGGGGAACTCTTTCGGTGAGTTCTCTGGCGACATGGCAACGTAGGTGGGAGGTTGCTGTTCACTCACACACACACACCCCATAGGGTGATTTTGTCCCACACCCCGGAAAGATGCGGCTTCTTAGACCCTGCCACTTGCAAGGTCGAAAGTCCTAATTAGTCCTGGAAGGTTTTTTCAGACTATCGGAAAAGTGTATGTATAGCCCAACAGCAAGTGATTCCAACTACCACTGGCAAGTCTGGAGCCCAATCTGGTCCAACAGAAAGGTGCTGCCAAACCCTTGCAACCAGCTCTTCCAATGCAAGAATTGCTCTCTGTCTTGAACGGAGCTGCTTTCCAAGTTACCAAATCAGAGTTCCTTGACCCTTCCATCCATCATGGAAGCTGCCTATTTTATAGTGAGCTCACCGCTTCGGGGCTACAACGAGCTCTCCATGAAAAAGCTCCTTTACTTGGGGATCCGATTCTTCATTCAGCTTTTGGAAATATCGCAAGATTTGCAGATCATTTTTCTCTTCAAGAAAGCCACCGTTCGGTGAGTTCCATGTGACATTTCCCGGATCGCCAGCTGCCGCAATGACCCGCTGCACGAGCCTCCGGTGAGCCGCATGGGCGGCAGCCTCAGGCTCTGGAAGGCCGGTTCTGAGGCGGAGTTGGAAGGGACCAAAGGCTTTTCAATGGGTGGGTGATCCTTTTTGGGTTTTTCCTGCTAAAAAACTGCAAAACAATGGGGAGTACCGAGCCTGCAAAAGAACACCCAAAGGCGAACCTGGCTAGTTTGTCCTCAGATTCATTGACAAGAGTATGGGGAACCAAGAACCACATGAGGAAGGGTTACCTATGGTATCATAAGGGCGAAACGCTCCACGATCCACGGGTTGTTGGTTGCATCGGAAATCAACAGGAACTGGTTGCATTGCCATTCTGCGCGAGCAAAGGAGCCTGCGGGAGGTTTCCACACAGGCTCGCTTTTTCATGGTTTTGCATCGCAAACACCTGGGTTGGTCTCGCCCTTCGTTCATTCTTTGGGGTGAACCCCTTTAGAATCGATCACCCAAAAAGAACAGGTGCTCTGTTGTTCCCATGGAGATCTGCACTTTCTGTTCACCTTTTTGGACCGAGGGTAGCTGCGTTTCGTTTCTTGGTGATGTGATGCTTACGGGAAATACGGGGAGCCCTGTTCTTGTTTTTCCCGCGAAGGGTCTCTGCGAACTTTTTCTGGAGGGCAGGGGCCCGGGTTGGTTTTTCCAGATTTCGTGCCGTACTCCACATGCCAAACCGACGCAGATTTCACCCCCAAATAAAGATATAACGGGTGTTCCCTGAATGGAAGACCATGTTTCCTTCAAGTGGGCCTGCCTGGAGTCTCCCATGACCCTTTAAGAATGGGTTCATGACTCCATTATTTTGGGTAATGTTTTGTGGACCACCCGCCTCCGCTCCGAGGCTTCGACCCTTTGATCAAGATGCGGCAGCCCCGGTACTCTCCTGGAAGCTTTGCTTTCGGAACCTGAAATCAAGGAGTCCCCCAAAGGCGAGAGAGAGGTTCCTTTACAAGTGGTTGCTCGGTATTGTTAATTTATGGGGAAGGGTAAGACAACTTGACATGGACTCGTTGGTGGACACTCAGGTCGGGATCTCCAACCATGTTTGAGCTGTTCTCGATCAGGATTCGCACCCCCGAAGGACAGTTGAGACTTGAACATTTCGAGTGGTTCTTAATTGTGAGTATCTCACTTCCTGCGTTTCTGAACTTGAAAAGTTTGGGAAGACCATTTTCGTGGTAATTAAAAGTTTGGACTGTTTTTGCCAATCCACTCGATCGGAAGTGAGGTCTGTCATACAGGTCGCTTCAAATGCACCTCACCAGATGTGCTCTTGGCCCGCTGTCACGCTCCAATTGATGGCCAGTGATTCGATTCGTGATCCGGACTTGCGCGCTTCGAAGTTCATTGATTCTTTACCTTCTGCTGATGAATGTTTGTTTATTTTGTTTAGTTTCTTGGTTTTGTGGGGAATTACTTTGTCACTATACTGGGCATATGCCTTCAGGGGTCTTAAGCAACTGGATGTTACTTGTGGTGAATTGGAGGAATCGGTGCAGATGTATCGTTGGCTTCAGTGCCCCCAACCCCTTATACGTTTCACGGCGCTTAGAAGCCTCTGCCCCAAAACTGCCATAAGCCCGTTGGTGAATTAACTCCATGGTTTGCCTTTTCCACTGTTGGTGTAGAAACCCTAATCAAGGGAGGCTATTAATTTGAGTGGAAAAGGCAAACCCTGGAATTAGCCCGCTCGATGTTGCTGGTGACAAAAGGGTGATGTAACCCTGTTCAGGATTGTGTGCACTCTATGTCCCCTGCTCTGATGTTTCAGGGCTCTCTCTCTCTCTCTCTCTCTCCCTCTCTCTCTCCCCCTCTCTCTTTCTTGTGGATCGGATGGGGTTACTGGGGCGCCTCGATTTGTTTCTCCAAATAAGGCACCCCGTAGGTTTCCTTTTGGCTTCGCCTGAACACCATGCAAGAGGAACCCCTGTTTGATAAACACTGAACCGAGGGGACCTTTCATGCTGGGTGCTTCTGCAAACTGAGAAGGCTTTGGTTGGAAAGGGAGCACCAACAAAAATCAAGGACACACCTTCAAGCCACCGGCAGGCAAAATTTGCCACCAACGACGCCCTTTTGCCATGGCCGCTCTCCACACCTTACGGCGAGTCAGCAAATTATTGGTGTACCGCCGGGTTTCTCACGCGAGACGCAACAAGTATTGGAGGATTGGATTCCGAAAGGGCGCTCGATTGGCCTGAGAGGCTCTGGAAGCTGACAGTTGCTGTTTGTTTTCCTGTTGCCGCCTGAAGCCCGTGTTGAAGGTGTCCAGCCCAAAAAAGGGGGGTTGCAACCCTAAGCAAAAAGCGCCAGCCCCCTCCCCTTTTCATAGGTTTCTTTCCAGGGCTGGAATCAAAGAGTCTGGTGGGGTTATGGAATTGGAAAGCCAACACCTCCAGAACCCATACCTGAACATTTTTTTAATGTTAGATTCTGAAACGCTGGGTTTTTTGTGTCCTCGAGGTAAACATCGTAGGTTGTGTTATCCTGAACTTTTTGTGCATAGACTCGAGTCTTACACCATAACCTATACTTGGCTAAGTGGGTGTCTGTGTGGAGGGCCCCCTTTGGGGAAGGTTCCAAAGAAGAAAAGAAAAAGAACAACTATCTTCTTTTATCCTTACGAAAGCTTATGTTGAGGGCCCCTTTTTCGGTGATTTGTCCAACATGTTTCCCATGGCTTCCCCCCTTTTGGGGACACACCTCAAGAGGTTTGAGATATGTCTGTGGGTCAAAACCCAGGAAACACCTGGTGATCAAAATCGGTGGCTTGCTGGATGTTCCACCCCATGGGATCGCCATGGGTTATGCCCCATTATGGTCTCAGCAGCTCCAGGCCCACAGCAGCAGACTTCGCTGCGCAGCTGCGGAAGCGCATGGCGGACATCAAAGCGAGGGGCCCCTGTTCCAAGGTGTTTCAGCCTTCCAGTTGGTGAAGAATTAATGGATGGGAATTGTTTTTAAAGGGAAGTCAGGATTCCCTTTAAAACCAACAATCAAGCTGACAACCATCCGTTTATTTTCCCCTCTTGGTTTTAAAGGGAATCTATGACTACTTGAAGGCCAACCTTCTTTTGATTTTCCTTTGGGGTCGGGATTCATGTGAGACAAATCGCCGCACCCTCGAGTCCAACCCGTCTCCCCCCTCAATGTACAGCCTTTGCCTTTTGCATATCTGGAATTATACTTCAACCATCCTGGCGGGCCACTGGATTTGCCGGTTTTCTGACCTAGACGTGGGCTGCTTCCTTTTCCTTTTTTCCCCGAACGCGCAAGAGGGTTGCCATTGAAAGGTAGCTGGGAGTGGTGCTTTCAGGGGACGACAACATCGTTTTTTTGCCTCTTGGCACTCAACAAAAGGAAAGCGCATGCCGGGAGCCAGCGTGGCTTTAGCTCGGCTGGCAAGAAGGAGGGTTGCCGTAAGGGGAGCTTCCTTTTTGGTGTTGACATCATTGTTTGGCGTGCATGCGTTCACTAGGGGGAAGCACAAGTTTATATAGGCATCGATCGAAGTCTACTGCAACCGCAAACGGCAAAACACCGAGAGTTCTTTCTGTATTCTGCGGTTATTTTTTTCACAACTGCCGACACAAAGGCGGCCAGTGAAAACGCCTTCCGGGCTCCAGGTTGAACATCGTGGTTGATGCGTCGGAGTGTGTTGTTTGGGCCTCTGGGGAAGCCCGTGTAATTAGTTGTGCTCGGAGATGTTTTCTGGGGATATGTTTGGGGATGGTTTTGGAATATATATATATATGGTGGTTGTTCTTTTTGTGGATCAAGTTTCAAGGGGAGGGTGGGTGAAACCCTGCAACCTCACCCACCAAACAGGGTGCCATGGTTTCCCCCATGGAACTCCACGGGGCGCGGCTGCAGCTTTCGAAGCCTCGGCACCCGCGAGGCGGTGCTTCTTGACCAGAGCTTTGCAGCCGGCGCCGGACGGCCCAAGGGCAAACACCAGGTCCCATGGGTCGTGCGTTGGTCGAGTGGCCTTTTTCGGGGCCAACGGATACCTGGCTCCACCTTGGGTGGTGGTGGTTTGCGCTTTTGGGTTCCCTGCGTTTCTGCCTTTGACCAGCAAAACATCAACCTTCTGGGTTATTTTAAGGAGAACCACAAGGAAACTGCCTGGAGAGTTTGCTTTTGAGAAACGCTCGCCCCCGACTCCAAATTTTGCTTGGGTCGTTGCGGGACCGTCCTGACATACAAAACCACGCTCTTGGCTGCCTACCCTCATCACGCCGTCAAGTGGTCTTGCGATCCTCTCGCAGCCTGAAAACGACCTGGAGCTGGGTGGTTAAAAGACAGAGCTCACCTATCATGGGAACCAGCACTTTCACCCATGCTGGTGATGAAGCAGGGCATCTCTATATGGGTGTGGCTCAAATCTAAACAGGAGGGGTTACGCGGGTTTTGGTCCATGTTTCCACTGAACAGGGTCCCATTTTGGAATTCCGTTTTTTTGAGCCACAGCCATATTTTGTTTAAAAAAAACAACAACATGTTTGTGACTGATACCATCCGTCCCACTCAGATAGCCTGAGATTATTTTTTGTCTAGGCCCACCCTGTCATCCATTTTTCTGGAATGGAGGGAGGCAAGTCAAGCTGATGCGTGCCACTGGCCTCCGGAGAGAGGGAATGTAAAGACGATGGAGATATTTGTTTTGGATGGCCTCGTTCATCCAGACCTTCAGCGGCGGTTTCTTTGTGTTTTCTTCCCCTGTTTTTTTCCCTGCTGGGTTCGCGCAAAACTCTGGTATTTCTATATTTGTAGTTTTTGTTGGTGGCTTGGATTTGGATTTAAACCCCCGACCCCCGTTCTGGAGGGTACATGGGGAAACCAACTCTAAGCCATCAAGCCACTAATCCAAACAACCAATTGGAGGGAACTGGTCAACCCCAGAAAGTGTCCCGTTTTTTGTATGATAGAAGTGAACTCTTGTCTTGGCGGGGGGGGGGGGGGTTCTTATCATGAATTTGACAGGGCGCTTGTCCCCGAAGAAGTTGGCATCGGGAAGGCGGTTTTTCGCATTGGTATCCCTATACCAACAAATTCGAGTATGTTTTTTTTAGAGTACCCATTTTGGGATGGTTTAGCAAGTAGCCCAAAGGGAAACCCACGCATTTTGGGGTCCGAATCCCTATTTTGACACACAACCATGTGTGGAAGCGCACAGGCATCACTTCCATGTTTGGTGCAAGAGATCACCAGAATGGTCATTCCAAGGACCTCAGATGAGCAGATTTGACGAATCATGTTGGACAACTCTTGGTATACTTGAACTCTCAGTCAGCTTCCCGCTTGGTTCCCTCAGGGTACCGATTCTCCCGGACATTTCAGCGGTTCCCGGCGGTTCGGTTCGGCGATTCGGCTCACTGAGGTAGGCAACTGGGTGGCGGATGAGGTGTCGGGTAGCCCATCTTGACATGGCCCAACACTGGGCACCAAGTTGTTTCTTATCCTTATCATAAATTATGGTGACACTTGTCATTTTGTGGTTCTCAGTCGGAAATCCCAGGTAGGAATGACCCCAGGGATCCCCAAAACGGAATCCACAATGATTCATTCCCTTCCCTGAGAAGCAGCAAGTCATGCCGAAACTCAAATAGTGTCGACCCCTGATTGATAAACCCCCCAGTTCTTAGTCGAGGGGTCCCTTTGAAAGAATGAATCGCTTGAATTTGATAAACCGCCGAAACGATCGACCCTTTTGCAGCCGGGTATGCGGGGCTTGCGGGCAGACGAGCGGCGCCGAGGCTCTACCAAGCTGGCATCCACCCCAAGGCAAGCTGGAAGCACTCCCGTGGGGGTCGAGCGTATCATAAGCCTCCGTTTGCTTAAGAATAGTGTTATTTTCCCTTGTTGTTTTCAAAAGGAATTCATCACTACCGGAAATATATATATATATATATGTATATATATATATACATATATTTCCTGGAACCTTAACCAAATGGAAGTAAGGGTTACCCTCCCTTCCACTGACAAATTGCGGCTGTGGGGTGGGTTCGGCGGGTACCTGGAAGATCGCCATGGCGAAGTGGGAGTGGGTAGCTCTCTGCAGATCATGGTGTGTTTGGGCTCAAAATTTGCGCCCCCCCCCCCAGCCGTGTCCAGATGTCCTAGTTATACACTGGTTCACCAACATGAACCCACCAAAACTCCTTTGGAAGGAAAATGGTGCAAACCAGGACCCCCTGATGGGAGGATCACTGACCTTTCATTTGTCCTTTTGATTTCTCTTTACAACCACCAACAAAGGGGTACCCAAAAGAAGCACGTGTGCCCACACCCATTTGGTTCTCCTTCCTTTTTAGCTCATGTGGTTGCTGTTGGGTTTCCTGATGTTTCCTGAAAGTGATCCCTAGACCCTTCTCAGGAGAATCCCGTTGTTTTTCTCTTCGACAGGAGCGGGCCGCGAAGCTGTCGCCCAAAGCCGCCGGAGCCTTAAGCTGTTGCGGGGGATGGGTCAGTCTAAAGCTATGCGGGTGCGTGCGTGCGTTTGTGTGCTTCAGGGGCAAGAGTTGTGACTGTGGTTGTCATTTGGTTTCCCTTTCAAAATGGGTACCCTCCAAAAAAGACGCAGCCACATAGGGAGCCCCTAACCGCTGATTTAAAGGAAGTCACGAGGAAACCAACCAGTTCCTTTTGAGACGCACTCTGATAAACCACCAAATGGTGTTGCATGATCACAGTTTGCATATTCCCAGTCATACCACCATCATGTCCATATTGCCAGAAACCACTTTGCAGCTGGTAGGTGGTTTATCCCATTCAAATCCGGGTTCATCCGTTTCAACTGGCGCCTCACCCACAGTACCGGTAGGAAAAGCTGGAGCCATGTTGGATGCAAATCAAGGCCAGCTCAAGGTAAGAAGTGCTCGTTTGGATGGCGCAAGGGAGCCACAAGCAAGTTTGCCCACTTTGAGGGTCCCTTTGAGGAACACCTAAATGAGCAACTGACATTGGCAGTGCACTGTTGGTTCGATATGGGAGGATATGGGGGCACAACCCAAAATCTCGAATCAGGGCAGGACAGTCCCCAAATTACCCGCGAAAACCGGCCATTTTGACACGTGGTCCAGTTGTTGTTTGGGTTGCCCTCCAAAATGCATCTTGGGTGTGGTATGGGGAGCCGAGGGTGATCCAAGCCTAAACAATTCCCGCAGGATCCCATCCGCCTTGCCATGGGACCTGACTGGATCCGGTTTGGACCATTGTTTGCTCCAAAAGGGGGCCCTCCTCTTGTACGTAGGTTCATCTTATAGTGGACAGGAAGGCAACTATGTAAACTTGAACAAGGACGTTTGCAACTTCTGTGCTGGAGTTCTATGTCCATTGTGAGTCAGAGTGTTGTTTCCTTTTTCTGCAAAGTGCAGTTCATTTTTCATTTTGGCTTCCCAACTTCCCCGCCTGTTCGCGTCGCCGGGCACGTATCTACGAAATTTACTCCCTGGAAGTTTGAACGTTTCTGGGCAGAGGTTTTCCTTTTCCTTTCATCGGGGATACCCTCAAATTCAACCTAATATGGGTGGCTCGCCATTTTTGGAGATCGCCCCTTTTGCCCTGGGTTTCAAAGCACCCCAAACGGAGGCCATTTTGGGGGCGCGTTTCGCTTCGACACAACCCCATGAATTCGCTGAGGTGAAAGCATTACACCGGCACCTGGGCGCGGTGGTGAAGCGCGCGGTGAAGGTCAATGCGGACGCCGCCAAGTTCCCTAGGAGCGACAAGTCCCCGAGTCGCATTGCAACGCGAGCTCGCGGGTTAAGGTCGGTTGACAGACGCAGCATGAAGATACGTTTCTGTGGCAAGGGTTCCGTTTTTTGTTTGACCTCCTTGGGGCAGACTTAAAATTAGGGATTTCCCTTTTGGGGGAATCAACCACCCCTGGGTTTAAGTCTGCCTTGGGGTAGTCAAAAAACGGAAGCCTGGCTGACGCAGCATGATGATACGGCTGTGGCGCAGAAACATGACGTGGCAGCAACTTGGCATATGAAACAGGTTCTGGCAATATCGCTTTTGGTGTACCCTGGTGTGGTTTCAAAACACTGCCATTTTGGAATGGCACATTTTCAGGAGACATCCACGAACATGATGGAAACCAAATTTGTGTTTTTTTGTCCAGTTGTGTTTGATCGTAGCCCATTTAAGAGGGGGATCCGGATCACTGTTGAAGAAAGTGCATCCCGCCCCATAATCTGCGAGATTTGTTCATCCAGGGTCAACATTAAAAGGGTATCTTCGGAGCATGTTATCTTCTAAGGCTGACTATAGACTTGAACTAGAATCTGCGCCTATTATGTTTGGTGTACCCTGGTTTTTAGGTCATTGCCCTTTCATATCGTCCAAGGACTTGGCTCAGGGTTTGCATGGGGAAAATCAAGGAGACCGGGCTTCATTCGCGTAGGCGCCCCCTTGGCTCTGAGCCGTCCACAACTCATCAATCCAGGCTCTCGGAAATTGATATGGGTGCGTATCAAAATGGGGGGTGGTGGTTCATTTATATACTTCCCGGCTAAACCAACCCCGTTCAGGAGCCTCCAAAAAAGACAAAAAAGACGAGCCGCCCCTCCTTCTCTTGGGGAAAACTCCCGCGATTTTTCCGCCTTTCCAAGGACCCGAGACTCGATCTTTGTTGTTGTCCTGGGAGTGGGCCCGTGTTCATGGTCCGGCCAACTTGCGCGATTTTATGCAACCTCCATGGGTAGAACTTGTGGTCTCCCCGGACTAAAGCAAAACAAAAATCCAACACGGGCACCCTCAAAGAAAGCCGAGCCACCCATGTTGAACGAGGGGAAACAAAATAAAGCAAAACGGAGCCTGCACATGTCCGGTTCTCCGAGCCTCTCGCTTGGTTCTTTGCACATTGCGAGGGGCGTTGTGGATGGATCTCTGGTTGTCACTCGACTTGTACATTGATTTCCACCAATCGGGGCAGCAGGTTACCCTTCTCTACAGTTTCAAGGTGCGGTGTGGTGTCACTATGACTTATGAGTTGAATCTACCATGCATGGGAACAAGTTGGTGAGGGTCTGGCCAAGTGTCCATCCTTTGTGTCATACGTTAGCTGAGCTTGCGCGCCGTGACAAGATGACTATAAACAGTTTTTTTTTTTTTTTTTTTTTTTTTTTTTTTTTTTCCGGGTTGAACGGTTCTGTGTGGGTCTGCCTTAGGACTTGGCTCTTCCACTACCGCTGGGCGCTGACCTCAAGCGTGCAAGGCGGCTTGGCCCTTCAGACCTCCCACAACCTAAGTGAGGCAGGAGGTCTGAGGTTGAGGTTCTTCCAGGGATTGGAGGTTAAGGCAATATTGGTGTGGGTCAAAATTAAGCCACCAGGAATTGGACCGTAGGTTTTACTCTTTCGTTCCATTTACCAGGGCAACCCATTTTGGGTACCTAATTTTGACCCACAGCCATATGCACACACAAGACCATAGGGTCCCCTTCATGTCGTGCGAAGCGCAAGCGGGCTGAGGGCAAGAAGAATACCCAGGACGCCAAAGGCCGACCCTTGAGGCGACGGGCAGCCTTGTGCAGGGGGCGGTCCTTGAATTTCTGTTTTGGGTAGCTTTAAATATCATCTTCTGGCCTCAAGGTGAGTTCCGTTGGACGGGGTGATGTTTTCAGTGGAAAGAAAAAGATCTCTGTTGGGTCAATTCTCCGTTTTCTGGCGAACAATTCCACAGATTCGGCAGTAAATCGAGCTCGAAAAGGGTATATCTTCCAATAAATTAACGCAAACCCATTCAATGGAGGAAACGAGGGCAGGGGAGTCGCATGAATTGATGGAATCCAGTTGTGTGACGCCAGGTTCCTGACTTCTGGCGGCCGCACTTCTGCATATGCTGCGATCTCAGGCATTCTGCTTGAACTTGTAACAAGCTCTGAGGTGAGCAATCCGAATCTCCAACGCCTGCAGGTTTGGCACTCTGAAAATGGTTCAAAGCAGGTTCTGTTGGGAATACCATGTGACCATGTGTGTTTGGTGTGCAAGGTCGGGGACAAGGCAAATCTTGCATCTGAATGCGAGTGTTGCGGCTGGCTATTAATAGCCCTTAACTGCAGTGGAAAAAATGTCAATGTTACGGGTTGTCAGCCCTTGGTTAAGTACCAAAGTATCTAGGGCCTTAAGTGGGGGGAGGTTGGGTTGGGGAGGCTCGTTCGGGCGGTTCATTAAACTGGGGGGGGGGGGGGGGGCGACCCGTTCAACACCCGTGAGTTTCCCTGATTTTGTTGGCCAACCACACATATCAGTTGGTGGCTTCGGATTTTGATCGCTCAGGTCCCTGCTGTGCAGAAGCTGGGGGCGGCAGGTGCGGCAATCGAAGCTTCCAGCGCTGAGCAGCCAACAGCTTTCAAGTGTTTTTGTTGTGAAGCGAGAGGAATCTATGTTTAAACTTTTGTTTGATTCACACCGCTTTGAAAGGTTAACATTTACTACGGCACATATTGATGTGATCGTTTGTTCAGTGACCTGCTTTCAGCTTGTCTTCTTCTCTTCTTTTTTTTTTTTTTTTTTGGGGGGGGGGGGGGTGGGGGAGCGTGGTGCATTTGGCAGCCATCGGAAATGGCCTAGCAGTATGGCTTGCCATTTGCCTTTTTTTTTTCTAGTGGTTTCCAAACGATGACAACACAGTATCTTGCGCGGTCAGTGGAGTTGAGTTTCCCCCTTGGTGTCCATTCAGTTTTTTCTCTCCTGATGTGTGGCGCCTTAATTTGGATATGGCTTGCCATCTACATTTTGGTAGGGATTTCCAAACAACTTGCCACTAAGCTGTTCTGGGCATGCTTGTTTTTCTCTATAGTTGTTGTTTGTTTTGGAGTCGCTCATGTTTAATGGATGCCAAGTGTAAAGCTAGCCTATCACTTCGGGCATGACTGCAATCCTTGCCAAGTTCTCAGGCGACAAGCGGGGCCAGAAGCGCGCGGGCCGACCTGAGCGTACCGCGAGCGGCAAAAGGTCCAGCGCTTTGAGCAATTCGAGCCCCGGGGGTCGGAGTTCGGGGCCGGGGTTGGGCAAGATGCGCTTCTGGCACCGGGCCATGGAGCCTTTAACTCGCTTCCCGAGTTCCTGGACTTTAAGCTTTTTGGAAAGACCACTTTAATTAGTGGTTAGCAAAATGTCTGGACTTGTTTGGCCCATCCACTCAGGAAGTGAGTTAAAAGGTTTGACTTTTCAAATTTAAAGGGAGTTGTGTTGAAGAATGTGGTTTAAACATGTTTTGTCAGGGGGTTGGCCCATCCCGGTTATGTGGCACACATGTCTTTTTGAACAACCAATTTCCATGGCTCCATTCGACACAAAGTGGCAGTTCGAGAGTTTGCAACTCCTTTTCGTTTTGGGGTGCCGCAAGGCAGAAGCCAAGCCCCAGCCATTCAACAACTCCCAACATTGCCTTTTTTTCTCCCACCAATGGCTGGTGTTTGGTGCCAAAGGCGCCTTAGATGTTTTGGAACAAGCGGCTTTCCCATTAAACATAGAAAATGTGATCGACCCTTTGCTCAGCTTGGAGCAACCCAGCCCCAGGCACAAAGAAGATGCAAACCATCAACTTCTGACCTTACCAATCTTAGGTGCACATTACCTGCAGAGAAACACTTCATCCTCTGAGATGGTCTCTTCTCCCTTGCCAACACAGGGGATAAAATACGCGAGGCTTCCGGAGTGTGAGTTATTGTACGGGAAACATGGAAGCAACGTGGCCATACCCAGGTGGATGACGGCAGCAATTTGAAGTTGCGGCTAGGGTCATGGCATATTGTTTGCCTCACTGGTATCAGGCTCAGCAAGACGCTAAACGAGGACTGCTAATCAAGGCAGCACCGAAGCATGATGAGTATATAATTTGGTGGGTGTCGAGCAAAAAACAGCACACACAAGAGCAAACAGCAGAATACGCAGATAAGCAGCGATGCTTTCTGCATGGTCAGACAGGCGCGGCAAGTCGTTTGGTGTTTGCTTGGAACATATCCTGCCGCTGCAAAGATCAGGGCCATTGTTGCCTGCTGCAAGAAAAGTTGTTTGTCTTTGTGATGCGCGTATTGTCAATTAGCGTTGCAATTAGCGGGTGCAAGGGTTCAGAATTCCGGGGTGCGCTGAGCAACATGTGTACGTCATGCCGGCAACCTACGCTTTCAACAATACGAAAGGCTCACTGTGATGCATGTCAACCACTGGACCATCAGAACCTGCCTCGCCATACCCAGGCTGATGACCACCGCTCCAATTCAAAGTTCGGGGTGTAATTGCTGGAAACTCGAAGCCCAGTGCATGAGCAACTCTTGCAAATGAGTTTTTACTAGTCAAGCGCCTGGGGCTTGGATGCTCATGCTTCTGTGCCGCATTTAGGAAACCGCCGCCTTGGCTCTTGCCAGGCCGAAGCACCACAGCATCCCTGCCAGCCAGGCAAAGGGCCCCGTGAGAGAGAGTAGATCTGCGTGTTTGGTCTTCTCGACGTCGTGCGGGGGATTCATGAATGATTGCCCTTGAGCTCCAGTGAACAATAGTGGCGGTGAATATGGTTGCCTTGCTCACCAAGAGCCAGTTGCCAAGCGTGGTCCTGTGAAGTGCATGACTCCCATCTTGAATCCTACATGTTCAGCTGCCTGAGTGCCCAAGCCCAAGCGCGGCCATGTGGCCATGTGCTGAGCTCCGCATCTGTTTTGAGCCGGACACATGGCCACGGAGCGGCGCCTTGCGGACGGACAGCCTGTGGTGTGCCTGACCTATCTCTTCGCACTGCCCTCGAGTGTGGCGCCGTTTGCCTGGAAGCCTTTATCAAAGATCAAGGCACTCAGTTGTTCAGTGGCACCCTTTTTCCCCTTTTTTTGGTGGCTGCAACAGAATAAAATGGTCTTCCCCAAAAGGGTTCCCTCTCTTTTTTTCCAGGGTCACTGAACAACTGAGAGGCACTCAGAGCTCTTAGAGGTGTGAAGCACCTGCGCATCCACCTCCCCAGCGGGCAACTGATGCAGCAGAAGAGAGGCAAGGGTCGAGGAGCACCTGGAAAAGGTTGGGGAAAAGGGCGGCGCTTATGCCTGGAGCGACCGCTAAACACAGAGTGCCACCTGCATCCCTGGTGGTAGAAACCTGCAGATCATCGAGTTTATGTAGAGGTTTGCACATGGACTCCTACGTGGATGTTCGAGGTACTCTGGCAAATTCACAACATCATCCGGGGCTTCGGACAGTTGGAGGAAGCAAGGCTGGTTGTGCGTTCTGGCACTGCTGCGTGGATTTCACGGTACCCTCTAAGCAAATATCCGTTTATTTTAAAGGTATGGCAAAATATCCAGGTTTTTCCAGGAAATACCGGGTTTTTACTTTTTGCGTTGTAATCAGAATGGTCTTGCGTGAGTTATGATTGTGGTTCCCTCAATATAATCCTTTTGTTGGCTCTCTTACATCCATTTAAACGCTCCACGGCCGCCTACCTATCCCATCCAAGCAAGCTCATTGAGCATGGCACCTGTTGCAAATCACCTGCTGAACTCGAAACAATGGTCAATCCGCAATTTGTTGGGAAGGCTTCCCAGATCGTGGCTCGAGAAGTTTAAAACAGCGTTGCAATATGAACTTTCTGACAAGGGCAACAAGTAGTCCCAGTTTACCGCAAGCGGTAGCTGCACGTGTATACATACTGTGTATGGCACTGAGCAATCTGCTTGGGACTGTTTGCGTAAAGCTCGCGTCGGATACGTCTGGAGGGCCGTCTTGCAAATGCTCACTTGTTTGACAACCAAGTCCCGTGCTAAAGCATTGATCCCGGAGCTTCTCGCAGGCTTGTCTAAATAAACGTCGCAGGAACATCATTTTCGGAGCGAGCCAAAAGAACATAACCCACTTTGAACACTGGACAGCAGGTAGTAAAAGACGCGTGGGACGAACACATGAATGACTGCTTTTCGCAGGGTCACTTTGCAAGCCTATTTCGGGCAACTCGGGCCTGGAAAGCTGTTTGAGCAGAGGCTGAAAATCCCATAAATCGCGTACGGGTTTGTACGGTATTTTTATGGGATTTGTACGGTTTTGTACGGGTTAGGAAAAACCGGGTTTTCGGAAAAATATGGGTTTGTATGGGATTTTTATGGGATTTGTATGGGATTTTTATGGGTTTTCTTTTTTTTCGCACGCGCTCGCCCTTCCAGAAGCTTTCCAGCAAAGAAAAGCCGGCACACAGCTAGATTGCGGGAGCAGCGAACTGGTTTTGTATGACATTGCGGTAGAACGTCCGAAGGTTTTCGGGCACAAACACGTACTACGCAACATGTTTGGCTTGGACTGTGCTTCCCATCGAATCGAAGTTATGAGGAATCTCTGGGTGCTGGAAGAAAGTGCGACTTAGGCGGAGGCCAGCTTTGTTGGCATTTGGCTTGTGCGCCGAGCCGAGTAACAAATGCAAGTGCCACTTTGGGATACTGCAGTATGTTTTAAAAAATACAAAAGAAGTACCATGCTTGAGCATGACGTGTCAATCACGCAGAGCTACTGATGGTCATGTAGTGAACTGCACACTTGTACATTCAAGCTGGTTGTCCCGCTTCATTCTTGAGTTTTGGCTGACCACGCCCTCGCGTCTACCCCTGCCTTTTGAGCTCCAATCTTGAGGAGCAGGGGGCTATCGCGCACTTGGCGGTACAAAAGGAAACAAGAGATTCCAAAAAAACATCTAGAAACCCAATATACAAGTTGGCAGTGAAAGAAACCTGGCGGCTCCTTTCAACACCTGCTCGAGATCCGGCACCTTTGATCTGTTCTTCAAACATCCGACATTTCGCTTGCGAAATGTGCCAAAATAAAGGATGTAGGTGAAATACCAGGTTTTTCCCTGGAAAACCTTTATTTTTCCCAAACTTGCCCAAAAACCAGGTTTTCCCATTTGACCCTTTAAAATTAAAGGATTTTCGCTTAGAGGGTACAATCCCATTTTGGATCTGGAAGTAGATGCGGCAGTGGTTCCAGCATGTGTCGACAGCCGTTTGCCTTTGCTGGAACCGCTCTTCCAAGTGCCCTACAGCTCCAAGTTGTCACTCCTCAAGTTCCTGCCCTGGGATGCCGAGGAATTTGAGGCGTCGCTCCTTGGATTTCGCCGTGTTGCTTGGCAGGTCCACGAGATTGCAGCTACCTTGCGTCTGAAACCAATAAGGGCAGCTCTGGAACTCAGCGATCTCTTCTTTTGCCACACATGGGGACCTCAGAAGAGCAGTGCGCTTGCCGATTTTGAGAAAGAACATCGAGTCGTAATTGCGCATTGCACTGACCGTACTCATGAAGAATTTGCTTTGCAATGCTCCCGCTTGGGCATCGTTGGCCAACAAGACCTCGTATTTGTGCTGCGCAGCTTGCCTGACATCCCGCATCTAGCCAGCACGCCTGAGCTGAAGGCAGGAGCTTTTGGCAGTTTGCCAACCCAGTTGCACGTATCTTTACACCCCATTTATCGTGAACGAGAGAATGAAGAGTTCCTATACACGCTGCTTTCAAGCACAGAGGGGCAGGCGCTTCTCGGGGATTGGAATGTTGGCGTTTGGCGGTACCAGGAAGAGGGAAATGTCCTTCAAGAGGAGGATGTGGCCTTCTTGGAGCCAGAGCACATTATCCACTGGCACCGGCGGGTTGCTCCGTTTTCTAGAAACCGCATGCTCGTGCACAGTATTCGACACCAGGTCTTGCTGGTACTGGTACATCCTGGTGACCTACAAAGACAAAGACGAGGATCGAAAATGACTGACTTCCTGTTGGCGGGCATGTCTGAGGATGTGCAACGCTTCCACCGGGCTTGGACCCTGCTTGCCACCGCTATAGCTGCGCGCAAGGAGCTTGAGGATGCGCGGCAGCAGTTGCGTGCGCAACAGGAGGAAGCCATCCAACTCCAGGAGGAACTGGAGGAGGCACGGAGGGCCAACGAGGAAGCAAGCTTAGTGCTCCGCTGCGTGTCCGCCTTCGCCCCACACTTCCCGCCGCTTTCTCACTTTCAGACTGGGATAGCCGGGCTGGCGTGCTCAGATGAAGCGCAGCTGATCCCGGTGCACTTGCTCAGATTCACACACCACACAGTGAATGCGGAGTTTGCTTTTGGTGAGGCGCACGAGAACAATCAGGAGTCAATCTTCAAGCTTTTCTGGAGCTTATTCACAGGGCGTTTGCACCCTCAAGACTTGGAGCCGTTGTACGTTTTCAAGCACACGGGCCCAGATGGTGAAGTGGGGCTCTACTCCCGGAACAATCGCCGCTTGGCAGCGCTGCTCATGTTGCAAGCGCTGCGGCGGGATCATCTGGTGGCAGTCCCCTGCCGAGTCATCGCGGACGATGACCGGCGCCCGTCTCCCGTTGACGGGCGCAACTATGAGCAGTGGTTCCAGAGCGGCTATGATGGCCCCAGCCGGCGCCCGGGGTGCACTGGCTTGGGGTTCTCGCTGTGGCCAAGAAGGGCAGGAGCCACACCCAGCCACAGGCAGTATCCCATTTTCAACCACGCGCAAAGCACCTTGTATGATCTCAGCCGCTTGGCCGGTCGGCTGCCGGCGGATGTGAGCATGGCCCTCCGTTCTATCCGCGCCAGGCCAGCAGGTGACCAAGATGAGGAAACACTGACAGTTGCATCAAACCTGTCACGGCCATGAGACTCCCTCTGCAGACGATGGAAGTGACTCGATTATTGTGTGAATATATGCCACAATGTATTGTTTTGAGCAAAAGGTGCTTGCACGCCACTGACTGCCGCGCTTGTTGTGGCGGGTCGTCTCATGACGGGGGCAACCTTGCGAAAAGGCCTGCGTTTGATGCAAGTTCGCAGTAAGCGTGGGTGTACTTTGGTCAGCTGAACTCCCTTTGTTTGTTGTACTCCTGTCACAGAAGTGAAGCTTGCATGACTCGCAATATTGCTTGCAAGCAGGAGGAGCAGCCTTGCTGCGCAATTTGGGTATGGAGGGCCGAGATTCTGCCATGTCTACATGTGAAAATCACCCGCGCCGGCTACTTTTTTTTGCATCACTTCATGCTGGGACGTCAGTGGAATGTGTTTGTTCTTTGTTGTTTTTCTTTGTTCGCAAGGACATAACAGACATGAATCACAAAGACAGAACAGCAATTCCAAAGCAAGTAGAAGCCCGCCCAGCAAGCCCATTCTCGCATCCCGCCTTGCCAGGCCCCGGCAGATGCCGCTGAGGGCGATGGATTCGGCCAAATCTCTGTGAAGCCACCGGTGCTTCCATGATGTGCGTGCCAGCATAAACTTGCGCCTGCTTATTTGAGGCTGACAGGGGTTGCCTTTCCCTAGGACAGGAAGGAGTGGAGTGTATCCGTTTCGAAGGAGTTTTGTGGCCATTTTTCGTGAGCCATGCAGTAGTAGACGTTCTCGGATTGTTTTGAACACATTCCCTTGTTTCGATCTGACTCATCAAAAAAAGCTGCCAGCTATTCCAATGACTGCTTGCTGCTATTGCAATGACTCAGCTGACAGAACATGCCGACTGGATCTGAGCTCTCTTTGCTCGCCGCCCTCAGGGGATCAGTTCAGCCTTCGCAGAAAAGGCCCCAAGGCCCAGGTCATCTCAGGAAAGGATCTTGGAGCAAGTTGGGTTTGAGCCGTTTTCTTTGAGCAAGTTTGGTTTGGTTTGAGCAAGTTTGGTTTTCTTTGAGCAAGTTTGGTTTGGTTTGAGCAAGTTTGGTTTTCTTTGAGCAAGTTTGGTTTGGTTTGAGCAAGTTTGGTTTGGTTTGAGCAAGTTTGGTTTGGTTTGAGCAAGTTTGGTTTGGTTTGGAGCAAGTTTGGTTTTCTTTGAGCAAGTTTGGTTTGGTTTGAGCAAGTTTGGTTTGGTTTGAGCAAGTTTGGTTTGGTTTGAGCAAGTTTGGTTTGGTTTGAGCAAGTTTGGTTTGTTTTGGGCAAGTTTGGTTTGGTTTGAGCAAGTTTGGTTTTCTTTGAGCAAGTTTGGTTTGGTTTGAGCAAGTTTGGTTTGGTTTGAGCAAGTTTGGTTTGGTTTTGAGCAAGTTTGGTTTGGTTTGAGCAAGTTTGGTTTGGTTTGAGCAAGTTTGGTTTTCTTTGAGCAAGTTTGGTTTGGTTTGAGCAAGTTTGGTTTGGTTTGAGCAAGTTTGGTTTTCTTTGAGCAAGTTTGGTTTGGTTTGAGCAAGTTTGGTTTTCTTTGAGCAAGTTTGGTTTTCTTTGAGCAAGTTTGGTTTTCTTTGAGCAAGTTTGGTTTGGTTTGAGCAAGTTTGGTTTGGTTTGAGCAAGTTTGGTTTGGTTTGAGCAAGTTTGGTTTTCTTTGAGCAAGTTTGGTTTGGTTTGAGCAAGTTTGGCTTGAGCTCTTGTTTTCAGTATGCCGTTCTCTTCTTCTTTCGGAGGGCTTTGCTTCTAAAGTTGCCTTTGCCCTTTTTTCCCATGGCCCAAGATTTCAGGGTGCTTGGATGTGCTTGGTGTTTTGGCGACAAAATGGCTTCTGGGTGCTTGGACCCAATCGCCGCAGGCTTTCGGCTTCGAGCTCAGATGCGAAAACAGTAATCTGCAAAGTTCATGGCAATAAAGCAGAGCAAACCGCGATGTGTAAAGTTTGCAGATGATGTCCATGAGCGCTTGCGAAAACTTGCATTGAGCCATATTGAGCCCCAAACACAGGGGTCACTGGATTTTCTCCTCGCAATCTGCAGTTTAAGTTGAAATGGGAAATATTGAGGGACGCCTGTCTATCAACAGCAGAGGCGTTGCTTGGCTCTTTCAGCGTGGGAATTGGAGCTTCTGCCCATTTAGAGTTAGACTGTTTCATATTTTGGACTCGGGTCTCGGGTTATGCCACCAGGTCTCTTTCCAAAAGTCGGGCACCCCTTGTTTACGTGGTTCCAAACTAAAAGTCACAAGGATAGCACCCGAACGGGTTCCTTTCGGAGTCTGGGCAGTGTGAGGCTTTTTGATGCAAAGAGACTGTGGATTCATGAAAAAACATATACCCAGTGCTCCACCCTCAGAATCAAATGGGCCCAACCCCTTCAATGGAGGCCGAACACCTTTCAATGGAGGTGTTCGATGATGAGGGCAGGAGGGGCAGAACCAGGCAAAATACACACTAGCTTGCACAAGTTCGCGCCAAAGACGCGCGGGCCATGCAATGCGCGGCTTTCAGCGGGCAGCCCAGCTGGATTCCTGAGGAGCTTGCTCAGAGGACTTGAGTAGGCAATGCGAACCCAGGATTGCGAAGAACCTGATTGATCTTGATGGGCGTCCCATTGTGGAGGGGAGCGGGCATGGTTGGGGAAGCACTCCGTTTCGAAGCTGCCAGCTTGATGAATCCGGGTCGACATTGAGGAGAGCCCTTCTGGGTTGCTGAGAATCAGTGCTTGTTCTTGCCAGGCGGTGATTTCCCTAGTGTCCCACTACAGATTCTGGATTTGGATTTCCCGCTCTCATTTTGAACTTAGGGTCGTGGTGGACTTGAACACAAATTTAAGTTATGGTCATAAGGGGAATTTAATTTTAATATGGGACCTGAAAAGTGGTTGGTGGACATGAATTCCCACCGAATTTCGATGTCCCCAAAGGGCTTTGCATGAATTGTCATAACCATGTGTGTGTGTGTGTGTGTGTTCGTATTCGTATTCGTCCCTCATATCAGAAGGTGGGGGCGGGATTCGGAGCCAAAAACGCCCCCTTCACAGCCCTTTGGACCGCCAGGTTTCTGAAAACGAGTGAGGTGAGTGGAAATGCGACTGGCCGACTGGCCTTGCATTTTTTATTTTAATGATCTGAGATCATCGGGGAATCCCTTACTCCATGTTTGGGAATCGTTTGATAACTTGAGGATGAATGTGGTTGCAGGCTCTTTTTGTTGAGTACCTTCAAGGTGGACTTAAACGCAGGGGCGTTTGATGTCCCAAACGGGACCCCTGGGTTTCGTCCAAGTGGGGGGCACAGTCAAAAATGGAACGAACTCTGGTGAGCTTCATCTATGCCACTTGTCTCTAGGGTCATGTTGCTGACTTTTCCAACAACAACAGGGCGGGCCAAAGCATGTGTCGCAGGGTGCTCGCCCGCAAATTAACGGGGTGTCCGTTCAATTCGGGAGGCTCTTCTCTATCAATCCTCCAGGCAGTTCTTGGTCCAAGTTATCGTCAGGGTTGATGCGCAACCATTCGGTGCGGAAGCCATCCTTTTCCAGCCGGGTCCCATCTGCTTTTACGCCAGGGTCTAAAGGGGGTTGGGACAGCCCCTATGTCCCAACCACAATTGTTGAAGGAAAGTTGTTTACGACCTATGCATTGGTTGTGTGCTTATATCTCATTATGTTGCTTCGATGACTTGACAAAGAAGCGGTATATGAGTTTGGTTGTTTGAGCCGATGTCGCACACATGAGGAATACGTTGTCCAAGGCGGTTTTCAAAGTGCAATTCTTGGTTTGGGGCTTGCAAAGTAGTAATAAATCTGCAGTTGAGCCCTTTCTCAACCCTGCCAAGTAGGTCGATTCATTCAATGACATGAACGTCGACAACTGATACCTAGGTTTTAGGGAAATGTTCCGCGATGCCAAGAGAATCCTTTTAGAATGACAAAGTCACAGGGACGAGACTCTGACTTTGATACCACAAAGGTTATTTCACGCAACTATATTGGCTGATATTGGCTGCTAAAAGGGTCCTTCTGGTGCTGGCTCGTTTCTTCATGTGAATGACTGTCAATCTTGTTGGTGGTCTATTGGTTAGGGGTCTCGTTGTTTTGAGGGTACCCTTTTCCCCTTAGGGCAAACCACAAGCCAGGCCGAAATCTACTCCAAACCCCTATTTTGACACGCCACACCCGTTGAGTTCAGTGGGGCGCGTTCCGTATGTGTGTGTGCCTTTTTTTGAGGGGGGCCCCTTTTTGGGGCGAGAAAAAAACAAAATCAAGAGGAGAACCGCCATGTTTGGGGAGGCCCCGGCGGAGAAACACGGCCACTTCACGGGCTCCGCTTTTTTTGTTCGATGCGCCGGCGTGGGCCGGCAACCGCTGAGGCCATGGGCAGAGTTCCGAGTGGGACCCGGCAGCTCGACCGATGTCACGCTGCGTTTTTTTGTTTTTTTATTATTATTATTATTATTATTATTATTATTTTGCGAGGTCCTTGAAGGTGTCGTTAGAAAGGGATCCCCCTTTCTTTGACTGGTGAATGTTCTACTATTCCAAGAGTGGTTGTGAGTTTTGGGGTAGACTACATAGGTCATTTGCGGCTTAATGGGGTGGTGCTGATGTGGCGGTGGCCAAGTTTCATCAAACACAACGAAACCAGAGGAAACCCAGAGAATTGCTCGGGCACATTTGATGGCCAGCAGTGACCAAGTTTTTCTTGTCGGCGACTTATGAGCCCTGTTGCATTTCCCAAACAGCTCAATGTTGCCCATCATCTTGTTTGTCGGCTTCGTCAAAATGGCTGGTCTCCATGAAGAGCTTCCATGGTTCTTTGCGGCTCAGGCAGACGCAGCTTTGTGGTTTGGAAACCATTTCTTTGTCCAGGGATTTCGTCGGCAGGGTCCGCTGAAAGGACACGCCGCAAATGGAGCCGTGTCTTCTGTCTTTGTGCCAAGTCGTAGGGTTTCCAAACTTGTCGAGGTGGCCAATCGAGACGGGTGAAAAACACCTTTTTTGCCTGATGCCAAGAGCTCGGGGAGGTTGCAGTGGAGAAACTCATCGAGTCCTCATTTTTCAAAGCCTGCGTGCTCGTGCTGCGTTGATAAAATGGAGAACGTGGCCGATGTTATTCACCCCCCTTGTAGCATACCGGTTCGTGAGTTGTAAATGCGCAAGCTT